CATCAATATAAAGGCCAACAACAATCATGGTTGATAATGTGACATATAGCTTAAGGGTAGTGCAAGGTGATTTTGTGTGTTTTTATTTCTATCTGACTGAAGAAGATATTTTACTGGTGTTTGTTAAATTACATCCTTTTCTTCAGATACTGCAAAAATTTAACAATGAAATTTAGTGTAGAACTGAGACCAAACTAATATAAACTTAAAAACTTTGCCAAGTCCTGGATACAAAACTGAAGTATACATATATGATATTTATGAATAGTTTAGGATACTAAATGCAATCTTTGATACTATCAGAGGTTCCATTATCAAATATTGGATTAAATTGAGGAAAATAGATTTTAATGACTAACAAAACTATGAATTTTTCTCATAAGCATATGAATGTATCCATGACTTCCTGTGTGATTTAGCCCTTACTAACAATATATTACCTTCAAGATTAGAATATATATATATTTTTTATGATTATTTAATTTATAAATTAGTTTTTTCGATAATAAACAAGCACTGTTCTAACCTCTCAAGTCCTTAGTGGCATTCTCACCAGTCAAGAAAAGATAGTTGCTTGCCTATACCAAAGCAAGTACACTTATTCTATGTACTTTTGCTTGTCTTCTGTAATATTTCACTGTTTATTAACTGCACTGAAATTATTTTTTCTAAAAATCAAATTACTTGTTTTAGATTTTATTGATGGATTTCATGGTGTAATAGGTCAGATAGCCATAAATATTTATTTTAAGATGACAATATTTGATTTGACACATTGCCATTTGCTTCTTTCATTAAGCCAAATATTTGAATAAGAGTTTTCTCTATGTGATGATTAATATTTTTTTTTTATAAACATTTGATGAAATCATGTGATTGAAGCTTTTAATTGCCAAAAGAAAATTGACACCTCAAATAATGTTCAGTGCTATTTGAAGATATATTTCAAGAATTTCTTCTAAACACATAGGAAGTATTCGTGCCATCAAGTGATCATGTTCGAGTAGTAAGAATGCTGATAAAACATCTGCACTTCTTTACAAATAGTGCCAAATCAGCCCAGCCATCTCCTTTGGATGATCTTCGCAAGTAAGGATTTTAGAAGTTCATTTTACTCAGAATGGATAAAAAAAAAAAAAAAGAAGAAAAAAAAATAAATCATAGATATATTGATGGATGAAATGATGAAAAGTAATTCTCTTACAGGAATGTATGGACAATGTATCGGAAGAGTTTGTTCCAGTTCTTGCATCATACATTCAACCACTGGCCTTTAGATTCTTCATTTAGACTTGTACTAGAGACATGGTTGTCATACATACAGCCTTGGAGATATACTGATTATTCTCCAATCAGCAGGTAA